CCTGGAGTGTTTAGTGAGATATAGACTAAAAAAAGCTGAGAAGCACTGAAAGAAAAGACCAAGCCAACAAACATTGAGTATGACAACTGACAGGTAAGAGGCAGACATGAGAAAACATTGTGACCGAGTTGTCAGGACAGCGGGACATCCCTGCTGAGCAAGTTTGCCAGTATGTCTGTGACTCGGGGTGAACTTTAAAAGTTACCTCAAGCCCATCAGCTTACCCTCCCTTGTGGCCTTGACCCTCTACCTTCAGAGGAAACATTCCCCCCAACCCTCATTTCCTTCACATCAGCACTTGCAAGGCAAGTCACATCAACTGATTACTCTGAAACTAACTCTGCAACACAAGGAAAAAAAAAAAAAACCAGCAAGTTTCCAGCAGAATCAGTAAGCTGACACAAGGATGTATGACAGCTAAGTGGGCACAGGAGAGGTGTTGAGAACATACAGCCAGGGCAAAGGACGTTCTATGGCTATCCTTTTCAGAGAAAGCCTGCAGGTACATTGCCCTGATATGATCATGAAGTGGCAAGATCAGTTCTTTATGAAGTAAGGACAGCAACACTACCCTGGTGTAGAAAGACTAGAAACAAGACCTAACGTTTTGAATGTACAGCTCAGAAAAAAGTAAAGACTGTTAAGTGTATCGGACAACAAAAATAAGGAAAAATTACTTTGATCTGGCTTCTGCTAAATGAACTAAAATTAAATTAATTCTTTCAGAGGCTCTTTCTCAGAACAGAGGATTGTGAATTATATACAATTCTTGCTGTAAAATATTACTATTGACCCTTAGAGGGTCTCCAGTTTTTGATAAACAATTTTTTCCACAGCATAATCTGCTCATACAGTACCATTAACATTTCATAAATGTTCACATTCAAGGGATTACATTCTATATGATTTCTTTGTTTTAGAGCTTCAACAACATACAGATATATCCAGACAGATATTCACATACTCTGGAACATGCTTTAAAAAATGAATGTTTATTACTGAAGTAACAACTCTTGCAAAAATCTCTTCCCAAACATCAAAGGAAAAGAAGTTGTAATCTGCAACAGAAACGTCATTTGTTAAAAAAATACCTATGCGTTCTCTACAGAATACTGTTTTTTGACTGAAAGCTTGCAAAAATACACTTAAACATGACTGGACACTCAGTACAGTTATGTAGCCCTTTTTGCAATATGAAGAATGAAGATAAGGTTATATTGCACATATACTCACATCTAATTTAGATGAAAAACAACAAAGAAAGAATAGCACCATTCTCTGAAGTTTCTTTATTCTTACTTTCTGTCTTGTACTTTCCATAAAGCACTTTGCATGAAAAGGATTCCATTCTGCGTTCTTCCAAGCATACACAAAAGAGATTCTTCCCCAAGGACTGAGATGGTATAAGAAGAACCACTGTTTTCACTGACATCTTGCCCAAAAGTTTCTTACAGAGAATTGTCTCTCTCCTACATATATTCTATAAAAAACCACATTCTATTAAAAATACAAAGAATCTTAAAGTTGATTATTAGCAGTATTATATCCAAATATATATTGGGTATATACTTCCTTCAAAGTCAGGAAATAATTTCACAATGCTGTCTCTCATTAACATATATTATTTATAAGAAAAAAAATTCTCTAATACTTGGGTAGCAGAGAAAATTAATTTTCACAAATTTCTGTGCTGTCATGGATAGATTACTCCTGTTCGCTTTTAACCAGCTCGACTCTTTCTCCACAGCAAGTATATACAGAGTAGTAAGCCACCGAATGCACTGAAGTTTATATAAACAGTGTGTAGCAACACATTCTAAAATCCTAGGAGTTTTACAACATAACACTGAGCAATTGTAGATATCTATTTTATATATAATTTGTTGATGTCACTTATACATACGGTGCCTATAGAGATGACTGATACAACCTCCCAGCGGCAGCTAAGGCAATTGGTACTATTAGTTAAAGAAGAAATTTGACTTCTCTCTTGACCTTAGAAACTGGCATTTTTTTAAAAAAGAAAAAATTAAACTATTTCATGTAAATCTACATGGAAAGGAAATGCAAGGTATTATACATGCACTGCAAAAGAGATATATATAAAATTCCATTTTTAAGAAGTCTATAAAGAAGCCTTTAAAGTCTATTACAAAATTTATACAGAAAGGTTAGAATTCAGGTGACATCCTTCACCTTTTTGCTGTTCAGATATTCAGTTTCCTAAATTTTGCATTCTCAAAGATTTAAATGGATTTATTTAGCTCTGAGTGTGTAGTTTTTTGAGGGACCTTTCTCATTCCCCATGGATAGTGAACAACGAAAATGTTCTTATACGCTTATACCTCAGAAAGGCAATTATTTGATCACAGTTTATCTAATGGGAGTTTCTTCAGGACAGGTCGTAACAGCAGATGCTGTGTGGTAGGAAACAATGCCAGCATACTCACGTCAGTAAGATTTAACCGTGAGCTATTCAGCCTCACAGAACAGTCCTGATGTGATGCGGAACTCCAAATTAGGAATCCAGCAGCAGATCTTCAACAATTAAATTTTCAATTAAATTTTCTACAAGATTCTGTTTCTAAAATTTTGCAATGAAGCATTAAACTGATACACAAATAGAAGGAATTTTAAATATATATGAGCTGCTATGTCCCATCCCAAAATTAACATTAAGCATCATATAAAATCCAGCGAGTGATATTTATGAAAATTCCTAAAAATTTAAAGTTTAATTTTACTCTTCTCTCTAATAGAAAGCTTAAACCAGATCCCTTTCAAGCCCCACTTCAACTGGAGCTCTATACTTTTCTCTCTCTAAACCCTAGCCCTAACTCACTGGTTCCAAAAAGGCTTCTCAACTTATTTCTACTACGGTAATGGCTTTGCAGCTGTATGCGTCACTGTGAATGACTGTATACAGTGCGTATGTAGTAGTGTATTTGGAAATTTTTCTTTTTCTTTTTTTAATCTATCACATTTCTTAACATAGGTTACAAACAGCCTTTTGAGGGGAAAAAAAGTTATTTTCTTTACATCCAAGGTATGTAATTATATTCCTCTTAGGCAGGAGCAGCGCACAAGGTTCAGAAAAAGCAGGAAGGAACTGCAACATCTGTAGTATTTTTACCATACATAATCTTTCTTTGTGTTTGCCCCAGTTACTATCTCCCATCCTGATCATGTTGCTTGTCAACCAAATTCCACCTCCAAAACAAAACTGAACTTAGAACTACAAAGGCAGTACTGACCACAAAGGGTTCTTATGCTAAGGAACAGGAATAAGTAAAGATAGCAGCACTCTACACTGACTGAGAGCTTTGATAAAATGCCCCAGCAACTTAATAGAAGCCTGCAGTTTACTGCATGTGTTTACTATAACAATTTCAACTGACATTATATCACAGACTATATCCTGAGGGATTGAAATATAGCAATAAGGACATTTTTTAACAAACCTTGAAGTAATTCACTTACATGTCTTTCCTGTTTCAGAAAAAATGATTATTGTTTGTACTCAGAGCATTCGTCATCTCTTCCACATCTATAACCAGAGGTCATCTGAAAGGGAAACAATAAAGCCCCAATCTGATCCGTCTATTCATGCCCTACAGTCGCTTAGAGAAATTAGCTAAGTTCAAATTACAGTAGATCCTTCCTAGACATCTGAAGGATCTCAAATTAGTACTGTTACTTAAGGCAAGGTGAAAGAATACTTAGTTTGGACAATAAAATATAGGCCAGAAGTGCCCCTCAATTTCCGTAAGGCTTTTGCAAAGCTCTAGGAGAAACTGAAGAGACATCCCAGCATACCTGGATTTAAAGAGATTCAACGTCCCAACCTCAAGGGGACTTGCAAAGTTCACCTCTGAGAGTTACACTTAGAGTACACTTTGACAGCTATAAATTAAGACTAAAGGTACCAGTGGATTATATCAGGTACAAGTGGAGTCAGTTGGCAAAAAAAAACTTGTAGAGGAAGAGCATGAAGCCTTGATGCTGAATTCCCAGAAATCAAAGGCATTGGCAGATGCAAAGAAGCAAGAAACCAGAATCTGTCAACACAGAGAAATCAAACTGCAAAGGTGACACTACTTCCAAGACAAGCATGTCCTTCCTTGATTTCTTCATTTTTTTCAAATAGCATTAGGCATCCTTGTAATCAAATGGCTGCACAAAGACTGAAAAAGCAACAGCAGAGGAAAAAAGGAGCTTCTATACTAAGATGACACTGACACAGCCTTCATAGCCAAGCACCAGACCAATAAACTCTCGCTTTAGATATATCTAATCAGTCCTAGTTAAAAAAAAATACACACAAGGAAATTCTAGTCTTGAGTACACAAAAGCAAATGGCACTGGAGTTAGAAGAGCACAGAGTGGTTTTGGTCCTGTGTAAGAGGACCATGCAAGAAAGCTTGCTCTTAGTAGGCAGCACTGAGAAGGCATGCAAGCGCTTTAAAAGTTTTCTCCCTTCATTCCAGAATTCCTCTAAAAACTACAAAAGATATTAGAACCAGGCTTCAGCCAAATCAAATCTGAAGCCTTTAGGTAGGATCTTAAGCCTGAAAATCTCCCAGTTTGAAGGAGCTCTTTTACATTACCACATTCCTATTCCAAGCCAATATTTACAACAGCTTAAGTCTATCTAGACTTAATTTAGCCCTGAGGAGAATGAAACCTCACTTGTGCTACACCTCCGCATTTAATCCATGCTGCTGCTGAATTACGAAACACTCAGTTTTTTTGAACAGCTAATACTCAAATAACAAAAAAGCTAAACAATGTACATATTCATTTTCCATGTCTTCCTCTAGTTATGTCCAATCCTACAACTCTTTAGTCTAAATTGTCTACCTCAGAAAAAAGTATCTACAGCAAACTCTGCAGTTATTTTGCATTGCATGTTGCTATTCAACAATATTTGAAAGACTATCACTTAACGGAACATTAAAAGTTTTGTTCTCGACTTGGAAAAAAAGAACAATGGCCAACGCCCAGGTTTTGGGGTTTTATTGTTAAAAGATTAAAGCATAACATTTCACCAGATACAAGAAATTTAGGGTTTTTTTCTGACATAACAAACATCCGAATTATCAAGAGAAAATGTTGAGCTATACATAGTCTGACGTTAATTCATCAATTTAATGTATATTAGTACATGATTAAAACATGGCCAAAATACAGAGTCACAAAATAAGTACCTTGATGCTTCTAAATCTGAGACAAGTAAGCCAGAGAACTGAGTGTAATAAATTTCCAATAAGCGGCTCTACACTCAATTACAACCTTAGGGCAGAATTATTTCAGAAAGATTGGCAGTTTCTCAATCCTGGCTCACTCACATTCATTTTGGTGAGAATTTTAATTTTGAGAGTTTGATAAAAACATTTTGAAAAATAAGACATTTAACAAATCAAGTTCAGTCTTCACAGGAATATAAGGATTGCTTGCCACTCTGGTCCTTAATTGCCTGCATGTTTTACAAATCTTTACAAAACTAATTTTTATCCATTTTGTTTTCAGAAACATAGTACATCTGAAAAATAAAATATGACTTTACTGATGGGTAATACAGAGACATGAACATGTATTTAAAATTACTTTTGAAAAGTAAATCATTTCAGTAATACAGCTATAAGACAAGTTAAACATAGTACAATAAACCATGCATCTTCTGACTTGTCAGATCAGCTAAACTACTTGGTTAACATACAGCAACACTTCTGAACACTTCTGTAAATTAAGATTTTCTAGCATAAGGGAAAAACGGATTAAATTTGTTCTTCAAGTGGTTCAAGACTGTCCAAATGTTTTTTAGTTGTATCATCACTATGACGGCTTTGGCAATGGGTTAAATGTTTCTTAAAGCCTCGGGGAAAATTTGATTCAAAATTACAACGTGGACACTTCAACAAACTCTGACCATGAGCAGCAACATGATTTTTAAGAAGAGATTCCAAGAGAAAAGCTTTGCCACATATTTTACATTTGTATGGGCTTTGAACGTTATGCTTGTTAACCAAATGATGCAAGACAGCACCTTTTTTCATTGCACGACAGCAACAAATTTTGCAATAATACTTTCCCTTGCCACGCTTCATATATTTTGCTATTTCTTCCTCTGAGATGAAAGCCTCTTTCTCTTCAGTAAACTGCAGCACACATTGTGGCTGAATGGGAGTAGTTGCATCCATTTTACTCTCTTTGCTGTAATCAGATGACTCCATATCATATTGCTCTTGGTCACTGTTGGATTCTTGCTCCTTTATCTCCATTGAGTCTATCTCTGTTTTTCCACACTCACTGCTATTTAGTTCAGAATCTGAGTTCTCCTGGTTTTCCTTCTTGGGCTTCTTTTTGGGGCATGAATATAACATGTCTTCTGGTGACTCTTTGGCTAATATTGACTGTTCTTCCTGTGAAAATAAATCATCCAGTGGTTTTTGATCATCTAAACTGTGAGAAAGAAAGTCACTCTCACCAGACTCACTAGGTGTCTGGGGCTCAGAGGAAAAGCCTGGAGCAGATTTGTGAGACTCAGAAAATAGGATGCTTTTCTGGATTTCAGCAGGTACAGTAGGTTCAGTATGTCTCTGGACATCAGAGGATAAGGAAGCAGCAGGTTTCTGCATCTCAGAAAACACAGCATGTTTTTGAACATCAGGAAAAATAGCAGATTTCTGGGAGTCAGTAAAAAGAGCTTGTTTTGGGGTCTCAGGAGAAATAGAAGGAGTAGGTTTCTGGGATTCGGTGAAGAGGGCATGTTTCTGGATCTCAGGAGAAGCAGATTTCTGAGATTCTGGGAAGGAGCCATGTTCCTGAATTTCAGGAGAAACAGGACCAAGTTTTTGGGCTTCAGAAAATAGAGCATGCTTCTGGACTTCAGGAGAAACAGGAGCTGACTTCTGGGCTTCAGAAAATTGGGCATGTTTTTGGACTTCAGTAGAAATAGCAGAAGGAAGCACCTGACTCTGGGGCTCAGAAAAGACAGCACGTTTTTGGACATCAGCAGATGCAGCAGGATTAGATTTACGTGACTCTGGAAACAGAGCTCTTTTCCGAGGTTCAGGGAAGTGGCCCCGTTTCTGAACCTCAGAGGAAGCAGCAGGGGTAGCTTTCTGAGTTTCAGAAAAAAACATAGATTTCCGGGACTCAGAGAGTTTCCAAGATTCAGGAGATACTGAAGCAGCAGGTTTACGGACCTCAGGAAAGAAAGAAGGCTTCCAAGTGTCAGAGGAAACAGTGTGACTAGACTTTCGAAGCTCAGGAGAAACAGGGGGAGAATGCTTCCATGTATCAGGGGAAAGAACAGGTTTCCAGCCTTCAGGGTAAACAGATGAGATGGGTTTCCATGGCTCAGAAGAGACAAGAGTAGACTTTTGGGATTCGGAAAAGGAAGTAGATTTCCATGAGTCAGAAACAAGCCTCCTAGGCTCTGGAGACACAACCTGGCCAGGCCTTCGGGGGGGCTCAGGGGCAGACCTCCGGGATTCTATGGACACTGACATGGCAGGTTTCGGAGCCCAGGGAGAAGCAGTGGAAGATTTCTGCATCTCATGAGATGTAGATCTCCAAGGCTCAGGGGAAACTGTGGGACCTGGTCTCCATGACTCTGGTGAAACTGCAGGAGCAGGCCTCCGGGTCTCAGGAGAAGAAGCAGAAGCAGGCCTACGCATCTGAGGAGGATGCCTCCGGGGCTCAGGAGACACAGCTGGGGCATACCTTCGTGGTTCAGGGGATACAGCTGGAGTAGGTTTCTTTGGCTCTGGAGACACAGCAGGGGAATTTTTTATGCCGACGGGGCTCTGGGGATACAGCAGGGGCTGGCTTCTGTGAGTCCGGGGACCCAGCAGGGGATGACTTCTGTGAGTCCAGGGACCCAGCAGGGGATGACTTCTGTGAGTCCGGGGACCCAGGCTGGTCAGACTTCTCTGAGTCCGGGGACACAGCAGAGGCTAACTTCTCTGGATCTGGAGACACGGCCTGGGCTGATTTTTCTGGCTCCGGGGACACAGCCTGGGCAGACTTCTCTGGATCTGGGGACACAGCCTGGGCAGACTTCTGTGGCTCTGGGGACATGGATGATTTCTGAAGCTTGGGGGAAACAACAGGTTCAAATTTGGGGAGCTCAGGAGAAACGGCAGGGTTGCGGGACTCAGGGGAAAGGGTAGGTTTCTGTGGCTCCAAATTGACACTTTTTTTGGAGGAATCTGACTCTCCTTCTACCTGTTCCTTCTGCTCCTCGTTCCATTTCTCAGGCGCTGCATGTTGTGCTGTGATGTGATAATATACATTGCAATACATCTTGCTGGTAAAGAAACATTTGTGGCAGTGAAACAATTTCGCACTTTTTTGATAAAATATGAGTTTACCTAAGCCAGCAGCATCCATTTCATCACAATACTCTGGGTGTATGGTACCCATATGAATCTGTATGTTTTCATAGTCTGTTCCTCTGAAACTGCAGTGATCACATTCTAAGCGCTCTGTGGTTTTACGCAGTATCTGCAACATGTCCATTTTTCTATGGTGGATAACAGTTTTCACAGCACTGCACCTTTTAAAGAGCAAGTCTCAGAGCTCCTGCAATAAAGGACAAAAAAATCTGCATAGTTAGCGCTCAATGTTAATTTTAACTCTTCTGTCATTCTTAAACAACTTCATGTGCTTTTTTTCCCCCTCTATTTTAGAAAACAAAACTTTTGCATGGGTACTAACTCTTTCATAAAGAAATCCATATATAGGTGTCTCCAAATTTTGCAAATCATTTTACATCAGTAGAGCTTGAAAAACAAAGCTTGTATTTCACAGGTGGCCTTTATAGCAATGCAAAAATCTGCAAACAAGACATAAGAAAAAAACTTAGGCAATGAAGAGCTAAATTTATGTTCCATTCAATAAACATGACTTGCTTTCTCAGTTGTTGTTTCTTCCTGAATTTGAACTTTTTACTTACATTATGCATTTAAACTGAAATCAAAAAGTACTTTGAAACATTGTCACTGAAATAAAACCATTTCAAAACTGCATCCTTATCATTAAATTTAAAGACAAATCAGCTATTTTTGACAAAGCCACAGAAAATTTTTCCAAGGAGAATACAGAATCCTGAGTTTAAGCTCTGTTTCCTCTGTTAAACATTGTTTTCCTTGCACTAATTACTGTACATGAAAAACAAAAGATGCTGCTCATGAAGACTCTATCCATTATGAAAACATTTTCCCTTACACCATTTTATCTGCTGCTCTAAGAACACCAAAAATACTATTTCAAAAAACAGCAGCGACTTTCTCCAGTTTGTGTAGTTGACAGCCTTCTGCATACAAAGCATATTTTCTTTCCCCTCTCACCCCAGAGGGATGGAAGTTTTTCCAAAATAAAAATTGTATAACAAAACCTCAAAAAGGTGCTGCATCTGAAATGCAAACAATTTTTAACAATCTGGCTAGATTCCATTAATTCCAGTATGAGTTACTTAGATTAATTAAATACAATAAACAGAAAACCAAGTCTCACCATATTTTCTAAGTCATTTTTACCTACATGTGGGAGGTATCTCTATGCTGAAAAGGAATATTTGGACATTTCTCAATATTTATGTAAAATGCAGATTATTTTTCCTTGTAGTTTCAAATTAAGCAGTTGTTACACGACTGTCACTCTAAAGATACCAACCTAATTTGAGGGGTCTCATAAGACACTGTTTCAAAACAAATTTACAGTCAATGTTTGTGTGTCAATTTAACATTTTTTTCCTGTCTCAAAATATATGAGACTAATACCTAATCTAACAATATGCATCCAAAGCAAGTTTTCTGAATTTATTCCTAAAGTATTTTTCCCCGGTTTCTTATGGAATTCAGGCTTACAAACACATGAATGCCAAGTTGGACTAAGCAATACAGTCTCAAGTTAAATTTCTACAAGTTCCATAAAAATCAGCAACAGAAGGGAGTTGCTTTGGGATCAGAGCAGGGAGAGAATGAAAGTAGACTAACAAAACTGTTAAAGGCTGACGTGGATACAAAAGAAACAGGAAAAGGGAAATGGGCTGAGGCGCACGGGGCACAAATCCGTAAGAAACTAAGGTTCATTAGTTCAGTTGCTCATGGAACAACTTCTTTGCACACACCATACATATGCATTTTACATTAAGCCACAGGAATACGCAGAGTTTCAAAGAAATGGGTGCAGGCTCCAATCAGGAAACATGACGGAACCACGGACAGAGCTTGAAGAACCATCCTTTATATATATATATATATATATGTATATATATGTAAAAAAAACCAATATCCAACTGCAGACTCTCTACACATGTTTTGATATCTGAGAAACAATTGCACTGTTCCACAAATACAGAACTGGAAGGATTTTCTGGTCCTAAATCAGTCTCCCAGCTTCAACAGCAACCATACAAAAGACATTTATTCGCAAAAGATGCACCAAAATGTAGTCCATACCATATTCAGTGTTGAACACAAAACACTCAACATCTTATAATGAACTTTATATCACAGTAAAAGATCAAAACAAAACAAGGCAATAGGAGACCTCAGTGGCCTACATCTCTGCAAGAGCAAAGAATTTCAACTGAAAAATCCAAAGGAAGCCTTGGTAGACGCCCTACCCTCTGGAAGACATAAAAGCTCTTAGAATTAAAATTTGTTTTTCGGTTTGGGTATCTGGGGGGCAGGGAGGGGAGAGATTTGAATCTGAAAATGAAGAATTGTGAACTGATCATAAGAGTTAAAGAAAAAGAACACATTTTAACCAAATCACAGCACAACACAATTAGGATAAGGACATACTGCACTAATCACCTTTTCAGAACCAGAAGAGATTTTAGCACTTTCAAAATTGGTGGTAATCCTGAACTCTCTACTCTATTCTTTTTCTCCCTACAGAACCAAAAAAAATCTTTTCCAAGCTGAATTTATCACAACTTATGACAAAATTCACTAGACGAAAACTCATACTCTTTTTATTGTTTTCCTCCTCTTTATACAACACCTAGCTCTCGCCCATTCAGGAGTTCTCGGTTATTCACTCTTCTCAACTACAAATGATTCAGCCTCCCATCCTCTCCTTTTATTTAATCCTATCCTGTTTTACAATGGAAACTTCCATTTTCTTTCCAAATACAAAAGGGAGAAAATCAGGTCCTTAACTCCCGTCTACAAATTGTCAAAACTGCTAAGTTGCTGCTAGGCTTTGTCACCAGAAAGCATTTCTGGAAATGCAGAAGTTACAGGCATTTCTGCATTTTCTTCTCCTGAATTATGTTCAAAGGCTGATATTCAAGCCTTTGGCATAAGAAATAACATTCAAGAGTTTCAGGTACTTTCTCTTATACTGCCACCACCAACCACTTACTTCAGCACACTGAAGCTGGCAGTCACTGAAGAAACAGCCCCTTCTGCTGAAATCACTACTGAATTTAAGCATACTACTGAGCATGACATCTTTTAAGTACTGGAACACTTTAGGCCCTGACTCTGTAGAACACTAAATCGAGTTCTAGAGTTATTTATTGTAAGAACGATAATGAAGCTGCACAGTGCTGAACCACTCTTAATTCGCGCTGTCAATTTAAATTTTTTTGAAACACTTCTGAATGAATAAACTCTAAATTTTGCTCATTCACTTGGCACGTATCTGAACAGCTACTCTATAAATTTTTCGTGTCAATCCCTCATGTTACCTTCTCACTTTGTGTTCAAATGCCATTGTCTCCACATACTTCTGATTACTCTCCTCCTCTATACTCAGGCTTATCACACAGGTAACTGCTTGATTCATATTTCTCTTTACCTTGAACTCTTGCATCAGAATTTGCCTTGAGCTGGATCCTTCATAAGATCCCGCCTTGCCTAGCATGTTATTGTTTCCTAGACAGGCCCAAGCCAGCAGAGCCAGCTAGGCTAGAAACCTTAAGCCCTATAACTGGGTTCCCACGACTTCGGGCCTGCATGAACTGTGACGTAATCTGTGCTAAGCAGTTCCTTTTAGGAAAAATTCAACAGAATCAACCACGTTCCTTGTTCAATGCAGACACCAAAAGGACCTATTCCTGTACTGTTCCAACTCAGACCCATATAAAGGGTAAGGACAATAACTGGTGCTATAAAATGGGTAAGGGTACCCCTTTGTGAACTAAGAACTTGGCTGAACACTAAACCCAAACATAGTTCTCCTTTTATAGGTGCCCTTTCTGAAGGCAATTAACCTTTTCCAAGGAAAAGCAGAATTTTCAGGATGAAGATGAAGTTATCATGAGAGATAGGCCCCCTGTGAAACATAGGGGAAGGGAGACAAATTAGAACATCTTTCAAACCTGAGGAAGACTCCTAGAATTGACAAACATGCTGCCAGCAGTCCAGGTATAGATAACTGTTTCATAAGCCCCAGGGCACTTTGCTTTTCCTGGACATTCTGCCACGTCCCACCTGTTCTGCAAACAGGGTGATTTAGTATTGCACCCATCAAAACCCGTAGTTACAGGACTTGCCCTGCCCCAATGACTACAGCTGTTCCATGACACATGAGGACTACATACATGTATCCGATCCCTTAGTATTTTTGCACCCCCTCCAATTTTCCTAGCTTTTTCACAGCTGCAATACAGAGAAAACAAATACAGATACACCCAAAAAGAACCAACTATCTATTCTGAGAATACAGCGTAATTGAAGCAGTAGCTCGATGCCCAGCATGTATGTCTGTCCTGTGTCTATATCCTGTCTCCTCTTCCAGATTAAGTACTTAAGTCACTAACCTCTCCCCATTCCCTTTCTTTCACATGTCTAGAATCTGCAATGATTTCTACCAGCAGCCAACCACCTTCACCTCTCTCCACGTCAAAGATCCTTACCAGAACCTGTTTCCTACACTGTAGTTCTGGCCATAACCTCCTCCACTAAAGGAAGAACAAAAACGGCAGGGAAAAAGGATTGGTAATGAGGACCCATATCTACCTGAGGAAAGAACAAAAATCACTACTTTTCTTGCTTGGGTCTCAGCATCTGTGAGGCTGAGCCCATGACTTGGGGGAAAGAAAGGTACCTCAGAAGTCAGAAGCAATGAGAGAGGTCAAAGACAACGTATGCAGTTCTGAAATTGGCTACATATATCACAGGGCCACCACAGAGTGCAGTCAAACAGTATCAGCAATATCTATTGAGCTCAAGTTAGACTGAGCAACAGAAGTTGCCTGAGCTAATGCACACAGCAAACAGACCTCCTAATATCTGCCCAACCAGTAAACATGCCTCTTTTCAGAGACAGTTCCTCATTTCTGCCTCCCATCATCCATGAGGGTTCCCTGAAGAACGAGCCCCACTTCCTCCAGCCCCTCAAAAACACCTCCTAGTGGTATTAAAAAAAATTGCAGGAGATATTGTGTATCAGAAAGAATCCAGGCATGGGATGGCACAACAAAATGAGTCTGGCAGGCAACATGAGGCCTTCACTTTTCAATGCCATTCCAATTTCATAGTTATACGTCTATTAATCATTTCAGATTATTTTTAATAAACACATTCTATACTCAGTTTTACAATGTTTAATAAATTCCTGCAGTTTCTCTCTACAGAGGATAAGCTGTGGTTATCATTTCTGAGACCTCTGAGACACTGCCAGAGGGAAACAAAGGGCCCTAAGTTACAGATCTAGACTGCCTATGAGCACAGAAATTGCAGTTGTTTTTAATGACATGTACTATTGCAGAATTCAACAAGTAGTCTGTCATATCATTTTTCAAAACTCTGACTGTCCTGGTTCTCTCTGGCAAATGGATCTATAATCTCCCTTTTCCTCTTGACACAGAATCAAGCCTGGTGAGACATAAGCAGAGAATGAGGATATGCAACACATCAGTGATGCCAGCACAACTGGGAAAGCCCTAAAGAAGGAACTCCTATTTCCTGTAGTTCCCTATGTCCACAGGTAATGTGAGCTGAGGCTTAAAAGTGATGGCTGTCCTAAGCTGTGCTGCCATCTGTTCAACATTGCAATGACAGGCAACATACCAGTGGGATGTAGAGGTTTCCAGCAACCTCCTCCTGAGTTCATGACATCACTCTATTGGCCATTATCTTCAACAAGCGAGGGATGATGTCAGCACGTACTTCTAGGAACGTTCGCCTTCCAGCAATAATCCTCCCACCTGTACAGAGTGCCACACATCACAACTCTTCTCTGACAAGCACAGTCACTGCACAGGACAGATGGCTGCTCATTTTCCTTAGCCCTGAAAGTTTCTTGTAGGCAAACAATTCAGCCATACCCTTTGTCACTGAACATGGTCCATGCTAAACAGAGAAGTTTGTTCTCAGCACAAGAAAGCTGGATACAGCTGCACCATTGCTTTTATGACTACTAGCAGAAACAGATCCAGATTATTGCTGTATTTAAGCAAAAGGGAAAATGACATGTTGTTCTTGCAGTGCCAAAAAGTAAATGGCAGCCTGGTGGCAACATGATGCTTCTCTTGAAGCTACATCCCTGTGTTGTGGCTGACAAAAGAAACAGAAGTTTCTTCTGTTTGGCTCCCAAAGGAAGCTGCACATAAACATCCCCACAATGCAGCAGAGCTGGCACTTCACAGTGCAAACAGTAGAGAAAGGGTAAGTTGCAATCACTGTGAGCCCACTGCAGACAAGAATGACATTACTCCGCTCTTGCTAATCCAGCAGCATTCACGGGAATCTGACTGTGTACTCACAGCTGAACTGACAGCTGCCAGCCAGTCTATACACACAAAGTTCCATCAGCAGTGACTGTTGAACCATGTCTTTAAAATTATATGCCTAAAAAAGGTACAAGACCCTTGACCTAACCAGTAACTGAGACTGTAAGATATACTGTGAGGAAATGTTGGGCATTGGAGTCAGGCATGAGATAGCTGTTTTATGTATTTCCATGTTTCCAGGAAAGATTCAAGTCAGAGGAAAGTTGAAGAGTGACAATACTTGGCCCAGATGTAGATGACTTGGAAAGGACACAGCAGTTCAGCTATCCCACAAGATTTCCATCTTTGCTAAGAGAATGACAAGTCCACACAGCAAGAACAGTTTTTAAGACAAGACATAATAATGGTTTACACTGCAAGGTAATGTTGACGTACCTATGTCAGGTTCAGGGTAGAAAAAATTAATTCAACGTACTTCTGATAGGACTTTCTAACTCTAAGTTCACAAAAGTACATAGATAGCTTCCCAAAACGTCTCTGGAAACCATATTTCTGTAATGTGGAACCTGAGCTACTAAAGAGCTACTGGACCAACCACAGCACACAATCAAGTCATGAACTATGAGTTAACGTTACATCAGATAACTTTTCTTGCTGACATCAAGCTAAGAAGTCTATTTAAATTATTCTGAAAGCAAACCAGCTTCAAGCAAATTAGATTCGGGAAAAAGAAATGAAATCCAAAATCTAGATATTCTCAAGTTACAAAAAACTCCCTATAACACAAGCTTCCAGCTACCCTTCTTACTTTAACAGTGTTGAATTATCTTATCTCATCAATTAATGCAACTTCCCTCTGCACTGTCTCAAGTATCAAGTCCTTGTAACACTTGCACCAGCTACTACAGGCTACTGCTGCCCGCCCACCCTTCCCTAGGCTCCAGAAAGTGAGTGCAGATAATGTGAGTGAGTCTCCTTTATTTCAGAAATCAGCTCTAAAATGCCACTAACGTTAGTAACCTCCCCCCCCCCCCCCCCCCCCCCCCAAAATATTGTAAGGATGCAATCGAGTGGCATTTTTGACCGTTTAGTTTGTATCCTTCTCCTCGATCTCAGGACTGATACCGTCCCCCACGCTTATTACTTCGCTCACATGAGTGAAATGGACAGTCCCGTAAGAGCAATGTCCCGTATAGAGCTTTTTTTTTTCCTCCAAGGCTTCTTGCGACCTTTCACTGCCAGGAGAGCAGAGTTCACAACGTACTTCACCTAGCCCTCTTTCCGCTTCTTCAACTTTCTTTTCGGGAGGCTCTGGGACAGGATTTCCTAGAGATGCCACCTTCCCCCTGCTCCCCGGCCCTCCCGGCG